CCACACGCACACAAAATAAATTTCAACTACTTTATTAAATAAAAGCAACAGCGTCTCCGGAGAGTGATTCCTGCGTCGCCACCACAGAGCTATAATTGCCCCAGGATACGACCCAGACGGTCTGTATTACAAATTGAACAGAGCAATTATTAAAAGCAAACCCTATAATATCTAAAAAAAAATGCCCAATTCTCCATTTCAAGAAATGCGCCTACCGTGAACAGAAAAGTTCTCCAACTCAGGCGAGCAGATAAGCGTACATGTTAGTTGCTCATTTAGTTTAAACTGATCTGGAAACAGTGTTTATGCTGGGGAGACACGACCGCATCCACATAGACAGACAAGCCTCTGTAGCCGCTGTACTAACCAGCCTAGCCCGACCCGCTAACTGTAAACAATACTCAATACCCATTCAATACGAGCGAGTACTGGTAAATGCAACCGTCAAGGTTTAACGGAAGTCTGTAGATTCTCGCAGTGAAGTTTACTGTGACTTTCCCATGGAAAGTTTTCATGTCACAAACCAGTTTGTTCGGATGTCTTTGAAAATATATGTCATACTTTCCACAGCGGTTCTTAGCCAAGGCAAAGCAAACACAAAATTGCAGTACAATGTACATGCAGCAGGTGTCAGTATATCTCTTTATGAAACTTAATAAGGATGCGCCTGCACTCCTCTGGAAGAAATATATCAGTTTGTAGCTGATATATTCACCAGAATCACTTGGCTCAGGGGCGGTTCTAGACCCTTTTTAGGTGGGCTTAAGCCCCCCTATTTGTCGTCTCAGCCCTCCCTAAAACTATAATCAGCTAATTGAACGATCAGGCCAGTGCTGCTTCCTCAAGAAAATTTATCATTCTCGCTTTCAAGGGCAAGATGGCACGAGAGAGATTTTTTTTAATTTTATTTTTTATAATGCTTTGTCAACAAGTAGCATGTACAGTGCCATATCTCACTATATAACAAAAACATTTCACATGCCTCAACAAGAAGGAACAAGGAAAAAGAAAAGGAAAGGGAAAAAAAAAAAAGAGGGTACATAATGTGGCAGGGGGAGGGAACGAGTTCTAATTAATACCAAGCGACTACGCCACCCTGGGTATGGCCCAGGGACCAATACCAAATAAAGTACTTTCTGAAAGCACACAGGTTAGTTCACTAGCAGTAGGCAGGAGACGTAGATATAAAAAAGGTACACATTTTATTAAAGATAGTTGAAAATACAAAGACCAAAAATGCCCCCTCAAGACAAGACAAACTTATAGAGATACAGTAAGAAAAGATAACCAGGGTCGTCAACACAAGTGTCCTGGTGCAGAAGCCGAGGCTTACCAGCAGGGAATACGGCCAAGTTGGCATAATACAGCCTCCACAGCAAGTCACCTCCCCTTATTAACTCCGATTAACTCCGATTAAATTACAGTACAATCATCAAAAGAAAAAGAACAGAATCCACAATTCAAAACAACCACACCAAAGAAAATAAAAAAACAATTTATGTACTTAATAAACCAACGACTCACCACACAAAAGGCAAACCACACACACTCTACATAAACCTCAATGCATCACCACACACACGCACACAAAATAAATTTCAACTACTTTATTAAATAAAAGCAACAGCGTCTCCGGGGAGTGATTCCTGCGTCGCCACCACAGAGCTATAATCGCCCCAGGATACGACCCAGACGGTCTGTATTACAAATTTAACAGAGCAATTATTAAAAAGCAAACCCTATAATATCTAAAAAAAATACCCAATTCTCCATTTCAAGAAATGCTCCTACCGTGAAAAGAAAAGTTCTCCAACTCAGGCGAGCAGATAAGCATACATGTTAGTTGCTCATTTAGTTTAAACTGATCTGGAAACAGTGTTTATGCTGGGGAGACACGACCGCATCCACATAGACAGACAAGCCTCTGTAGCCGCTGTACTAACCAGCCTAGCCCGACCCGCTAACTGTAAACAATACACAATACCCATTCAATACGAGCGAGTACTGGTAAATGCAACCGTCAAGGTTTAACGCTTACCTGCTGAAGGGCAACCTCCCTCAAAATGCCAGCCACCGAACCTCGTTGGCGTGCTGCTCTGACTGTCAACTAAAGATGACACAAAGCAACAAACGAAATCGAGACCCCATTCAGTCAAGCCAAACAGCCTATATACCCTCCCACTGGCTGCGGATAGGGCAGCCCATGAGCGAATCCACCAATCACGTAGACAAAGTGGATTTCGCTACACCTACCACAACATAAGCATCAGTTTACATACAAATACATATTATACATATATTTCCATTTCCATAGGATATTACAATGTAAATTTGAATACAGAAAATATACCATTATTTATTATTATTATTGTTTTTTTATATTATATGAAAATGTTAAAGGAGGAGCATATATTAATCGTTTTAATAGCTTTACTATTTCGCACGAGAGAGATCTCAATGTGGTACTCACTCACGCGCTGTGATAGATCGTAACTCTGCGTGCCAGGGTTGCCTGGTTTTCACAACAAAACCCGCCCATAATATGGGCGAAATAGCTTTTTTTTTATTTATACATTTATACATTATGTTGGGGAAACGAAACTTATGACAGATGAGTGACAGTCCACACAGCCAATCAAATCAGCGCGGCAAAGCAACGCTGTATTTTCAAAATCACATTACTTGGTTTATTAAATGCATTAGCAAAAATAAGCATACGATTATTGTGTCTTTTGTCTCTTTTTTATGTATTGGTTACACTGTAATGATTTTTCAAAGTTGTAAATAAAACAAAGATATGTTTGCTCAATTCATGGTTTCGATTTCCGCTTCGTGAGTCATGAAACTGTAAAAAAAAAATTCTGACACACTATTTGGTTATATATTAAGCGACTAAGGAATTGCCTATTGCAAAGCGTTTAACCATGCTTCAGTTTTTGTCGCTGCTGATTAAAAACGAGTTAATGTTTTTATAATAAAATCTACACACCGTTTAATTTTTAATATGAGACATTAGCCTATACATCATTAAAAATCAGACAGAAAAATAAACAATGAAAAATTAAACTGTCAGCTAATTGTGACCAGATTCCTGTAAATAGTTTATATATAAAAGTAAATAGTTTATAAATAGAGGACATACAGTAGTGGTAGCTTAATTTCTACACACACACTCAGCACACAATCTAACAAACAACACATTTGTGACCCTGGACCACAAAACCAGGGTCAAAACCATAAGGGTCAATTTCTCGAAATTTAGATTTATACATCATCTGAAAACTGAATAAATAAGCTTTCCATTGATGTATGGTTTGTTAGGATATGACAATATTTGGCAGAAATACAGCTATTTGAAAGTCTGGAATCTGAGGGTGCAAAGTGAGGGTTAGGGTTTTTTACTGAGAAAATCGCCTTTAAAGTTGTCCAAATGAAGTTCTTAGTAATGCATATTACTAATCAAACATGACGTTTTGATATATTTATGGTAGGAAATTTACAAAATATCTTCATGGAACATGATCTTTACTTAATATCCTAATGATTTTTGGCATAAAAAAAAAATTGATAATTTTGACCCATACAATGTTTTTCTGTCTATTGCTACAAATATACCCAAGCGACTTATGACTGGTTTTGTGGTCCAGGGTCACATTTAGTCCATTTAGTCCACATTTAGTCCATGATATAAATGTTTATAGGCATGTTTTATAGGAAGTAAATCAATGAACAAAAGCAATTTAAGACATACATTTATACATTACATTAAGATAATAAAGAAACACATGTCCAGAACAGTCAGTAGATACAGTACATGCAGCTCAGCTTCTTGAATGACAGCAACATACTTTGAGTATGTTATGAGTGAATGTGACCTTACACAAAATGTCTAAAAGGCCTAACAAAAATGATCAATGGCATGACCTCTTGACTGATCTCAATCTGTGATTTCAGTAGACATCAGTCAGACCTGCCACTTTCAGCACTTCTTTGGCTGTATCAGCGAGATCCTGAACTCCTGCTCGCAGAAGGGTCAGTGTTGCGGAGTAAGACATTTCTGCAGTTTTTTTACTCCCTACAACAGGAACCATGCTCCACGCAAATTTAACTGCTGCTTCCCTATTTGTCAGTGCTGATAGCTCCTTATTACTGAGTTTCTTTTGCCCAATAGCGATCACTAGAGGTGACTTTCTTACAGATTTGAGGGATGGATTGTTGACTCTCACCGAAAGCTTATCTATTGATTCATCATTCAGACCGAACGCATAGTAACACTTGGTGAAGAAAGCCAGCAAAATGGCAGCATCACAAGCCATGGAAAGACCAGGCACTGGAGCCACAGCAATGGACCCAGAGGCGACGGCTGCCGACCAGGTTTGCTTCATAAACAGTTCGATTTTCTCATCCAGAATCTTGGAGGAGTATATTGGCAAGGACAAAATCAAAGCATCTCTCTTGTGAGCAGGTAGCTGCTTCTCCAGTGTGTCGACGAGGGTTTGAAAATCATATTTGTGCAATTCAAAAGAGGAAATCAGGAAAATTTTTGGTTTTGGGTTATCAATATCTTTAAGGTTTCTATGGCAGTCCTCACGAATATGTGAGAGAACTTTCTGCTCATCAAAGTCTTTCCTTTGAGATTCCGCTTGAATGTCATTGTCAATCTTCGAGCGGAGAAAGTAGAACAACTTCTTCTTCTCTTTAATTGCTTTAGCCAGCATGACGTCGTTTTCTTTGAATCTCTCTGAGGAGATGATGATGAAGAAGTCAAAGGTGTCAAGTTTCACCTCCTTTAGATATTTTTTGGCTTTAAATTTGGGACTTCCAGTCCCTGGCAGATCCCATAATTTTACATTGGGCATTGTAGGATGTGCGTACACTGTTAATGTCATTGTCGTCTCAGTCACTCCTGTGGGAGCTGCATTGACGTCGTCAGGTTTCAGACCTCGTATTGCATTGATAAAGCTGGATTTCCCTGCTCCAGTTGATCCTGTAACAGCAATGTGAAGTGTGACGTTGTCCAGTTTCTTCAGTTGTTCTTTAACACTTTCTGTTTCATAAACGTATTCAGCAGAACTAGTGAGTATAACATCAGGTACTTCATATACATGCTCCTCTTCTTGCTTTTTAGGTGTTGTGTTTATACTTTCCCTCTTCTCAGTGCTTTCTGATTTTAAATGCATGTTCTCTTTTGCTTTACACAGAAACACATTATCTGTGTCATCTTGTGACTTCTTGGCATCTGGACACACTGCTCCACTGAGCAATTCTTGCTTCTGTATCTCCATAACCTCCTCATTTTCCTCTTTAGTAGTGACTTTATTTGATGGTTCACTGAGATTAGTCTTATTAGGTTTTTCTGTCAAAAAATCTTTTTCCATTACAGCAGTTTGTGGCTCTTGAAAATGGTCTGTTTCGACACTGTCAGGTTGTTTTGTTTTGTGAATGTCTGTAGCTTTTCCACACTCAATCATTTCCTTTGCTTCCTCATTTGTCATCGGAACTGAAATTTTTGGCTCTCTTTGCTCCTCTTTATCAACAGCCTTCACGTGTTGTTGTTCTGTGGTCACTTCACATGGTTCCTCAGCCGCGGTTTGCTCATTTTGCTCCTCAAGACATTTTGCCATCTGTACCATGTCAAAATGACACATTTCAGCTTTTTCTGACTGATCTTCAGTTGTTTCATTTGTTATATGTATCACTTCTTTCTCTGCTTGCTTTTCTTTATCACTCTGCTTTTTTTCTCTCACGTGTTGTTGTTCTGTTGTCACTTCACATGGTTCCTCAGCCTCGGTTCGCTCATTTTGCTCCTTAAGACATTTTGCCATCTGTACCATGTCAAAATGACACATTTCAGCTTTTTCTGACTGATCTTCAGTTGTTTCATTTGTTATATGTATCACTTCTTTCTCTGCTTGCTTTTTTTTATCACTCTGCTTTTTTTCTCTCAGCCTCTCTCTTTCCTTCACATCATTAAGTTTTGATTCAACAATGTCCAGTAATGAACTACTTTGTTTTGGTTTCTCTGGCTGTTTCTCCATAGTTTTAATGAGTTTTGACTGGACGATTCCCAGGGACTCCAACAATCCTGTGTCTCTCTGTTGCGCTTTCAACACAATGTCCTCGTGAAAGGATTCAGTGAGGTTATCGGCTACTTCTATATGATCAGGATTTATGTAGATTTTGAGGAAAGGGTCCATAAAGACATTGACTTCATCTGACATGATGACTCTGAAAAAGCAAAGCAACTGGGTAAATGTCGAGAAGCATTCAAGGGTTTTTACTGCCAGTGAAACTTCTAGTGAAACGTTTGTACATTAGTTCTGCAGTAGTAGTGCCTTTATTTACAGTGTTGGGCAGTAACGCATTACTTAGTAACGCGTTACTGTAATTTGATTACTTTTTTTAGTAACTGAGTAATTTAACGCGTTATAATTTTCTAAATAGTAATAGAGTACAGTTACAAGCCGAGGTCTCTATACGTTACTGCCGCCTTACATTGCTGACAGAATGCAGTGTTTTATAATCTAGAGATTGTAAAAAGGGTGTAGCACACGCATTGTCGAGTCAAGTGCCAGTAGATTAGAGAACTGCTCTCTCGCGAGACCCGACGCAACAGAGTGCAGCGTGGGACAAGACTTGATAGGCGAGTGCAGAGACTCGTGTGTGTGCGGATAAAATGAATTTGTGAATGTTGAAGCTTTAATAACAAATATTTATCGGGAGTGTGTATGCTGGGATTTCATAAATTTCATGGGGGAAAAAAGTAACGTAACTAGTAATGTAACTAATTACTAATTACTTTTTAAACAAAGTAATCAGAACAGTAACGTGATTACTTTTAAAAGGAGTAATCAGTAATCAGTAATATGATTACATTTTCAGAGTAACTTGTCAACACTGTTTATTTACAAATTCAGTCTTTTACCGTGTTCTGATCAGTTATTAGAATAATGCAGCTGTTTACACTAGATGTTGCTGTCTACACATGTGTAATTTAAACGTGTAGTTTACAAATCATTCAGTACAAAATATATAAAGTAGCCTAATTATCATATAAATTATCATATTATTGTCATATGACGTTATTATTATATAAGTAAACACGTTATCTTTTTCCTTTAAATTAAGTCAATATAATTCATATATTGAGACTTCTCACAGTGCTTATAAGTTGCATTTAAAGGTGCACGGAGTATTATTTTTAATAATGCGCTGACATCTAGTGGAGTATATACAGTATCGTACAAATGCAAAGGTAAATTTTGTTATTTATTTTGCGAGCAAAAGTTAGCTGTAAGTGTTACCGAGATAAAGTGTAGACCAGCCCCATATAGAATAAAACATTTATTTATTCTCATAAGACTGGAACCTCATGAGCATCTACACTGTTTTACACTATTTATATTTTCAAACAAACAAACACATAAATAAATATACTAATCCATACATTATGTACAATAAAACAGCATTATAAGTAAATATCTACTGGTAAATATGTGTTTTCCTATACACCAATAACAGCCTATGTAACGCTTTGCTATGGAATTGTAATTCTTCGGGATTGCTTATTTTATACGTGATCAATACATAAATAAGCAGTCAACTTTTCTATTTTTGCATTAATAATAAGACAAACTCACCTTATCTGTGCACAGGTGGTTATAATAGCAGTATCTCTGCATGTCTCAAAATGATGTGGTAGCTGTTTATGAAAAAGTTGTAGGTGTGGATTTAGGGTGTGGTTAAGAGAACATCTGAGAACTGAGGCTAAAAATCTAGCCAGAACTACTTTATAAGAAAACGAAAATTTTCTCAATTAAATATGAATTCAGTGACACGCTGTCGATTACCACAGAAAATAGTGTGTAAATGTATAAAACAAAACAAAAATGTTAATACACTTGCAACAGAAGTCAATAGAGTATTTCTTGTATGTGTGTGTTTATGTGAATTTTTAAATATATGCTGACCATATTAAATATTTCCTGTACATTCTAACTTTTTCTTTTTTGAAATAATATCTACATTTTGTCTGTATGCTATTTCCAAAGAAAACACAAAGCTATTCCAAACATACACATTTCAACATGAATGTTGTTTAGCAGGAAGTATTTTACTGGAAGCAGATCTTTTTTTCTTTTTTTTTTTGGTAATGTGCACATCATTGCAAGTATGGCAATAATGTGCATAAATGAACATGTTGCTTGACATTACTAAAAATGTCAAATAAAATGTTTTACATTAAAGGGGTCATATGATGCAATTTAAAATTTTCCTTTCTCTTTGGAGTGTTACAAGCTGTTTGTGCATAGATAAGATCCCTAAAGTTGCAGACTAAAGTCTCAAACCCAAAGAGATATTCTTTATAAAAGACTCAGCCAAGCCTACCTAAAACGCCTCGTTTAAACACGCCCCCACGTCTATGTCACTGTGTGGGAAGATTTGCATAACACCGCCCAAATGTTCACGCAAAGAAAGAAGGTGTAACTTTTATTCTCGCTGTAGTATTGTTGTTGCCGCCGCCGCCATGTCTTAGAGACGCTGTGTGTTTTGTTGTGAAAGCGAAACTACTTTGTTTGGTCTTCCAAGAGAGGACGATATCCACTTCGTCATGCCTGGAGCTGATCCGTGCTGGTCGCTGAGGAAATACTACAACTTCGCGCTGTG